GGTTTATAGAGTTTAGGGTTTATAGGATTTATAGGGCTTGTAGGGTTTAGGGTTTAGGGCTTCGGGCTCAGGGCTTATAGGGTTTAGGGCTTATAGGGTTTTCGGTTTAGGGCTTCGGGATCTTGAAATAACAAGCGCATAAGAGGGGGATAGTTTTCTTATTTTGCGACCATGCATTAAGTCAAGCCATGCAACTAGTGTGAAGCCCGAAACTCTACACCGCTTAGCCCCACAGGAACCAGACAATGCCCGGCAAACCTCGGAGACTAAATCCAAAGGTGCCCACCTAATGCACCGCACTCCGCAGCACAAAAAGGAGAACGACTCGGATAGACCGAGTCCATTGCCGCTCAATGCCCTAAACTCAGGCAGCCCGCCTCTCTGAAGCCCGACATCAATCAGTAGAAAAACCCACGCACATAAACCCTAAACCCTAAACCTAAACCTAAACCCAAACCCGAACAGCTCTAAGTGCCCCCCACATCACACCCTAAAGGCCCCAACCCCAAGACCCGTGTAAAGTAAATCCTCAACAGAGAGCCCCTCAATGCCCTTAAAGGAGCCCTTAAGAGACCCCTTAAAGGAGCCCTTAAAAGACCCTTTTAAAGGAGCCCTGAAAAAGACCCCTTTAAAGGAGCCCTTAAAAACACCCCCTTAAAGGAGCCCTTAAACAGACCCCTTTAATGGAGCCCTTAAATTGAAAGGAGCCCCTTAAAGGAGCCCTTTAAGGAGACCCCCTTAAAGGAGCCCTTAAGGAGACCCCCTTAAAGGAGCCCTTAAGGAGACCCCCTTAAAGGAGCCCTTAAGGAGACCCCCTTAAAGGAGCCCCTCAGGGGCCGGGGCCTCGTTCAGGAGGCGCTGCCGCTCAAGGCGCAACCTGAGCTTCGCAGGTAGGGCGGAGGGGGCGGTTGTTTAGGGTTTAAGGTTTGGGGTTTAAGGGTTGTTTAGGGTTTAAGGTTTAGGGTTTAAGGGTTAGGGTTTAAGGTTTAGGGTTTATAGGGTTTAGGGTTTAGGGTTTAAGGTTTAGGGCTTATAGGGTTTAGGGTTTTAAGGTTTAGGGTGTAGGGTTTGAGGTTTAGGGCGTAGGGCGTAGGGTTTAAGGTTTAGGCTATAAGGTTATTAGGGTTTAAGGGCTTGTTTGGGGTTAAGGATTCTTGCAGGGTCTTTACTTTTGAATCCAACACCGGTGCATATTCTAGCATAGTTAGACACGGAAGCTGAAAGAATGGTACTGCAGGCACCTCTACTATGAAGTTGCAAACCTGCACGTGCCATTGCACTAAAGCCTGTAATCTATCAACCTAAATAATTGACAATACTCGTTTGGGGGCTCCATATTATCATTATAGTATAATGGGCCCCCAAACCTCAGGCCCTAGTCTAATTATTATAAGGCCCCTACATTACGGCTTTGGCTTATTAAAGGTTTAGGGTTGTGTGGCCAGAGAGCCATTTTAGGTTCGGACAAGTTCCAGGTGTTCGGCTTAAGGGTTGTAGTGTGCTATCGGGCCTAAATAGTTTGGGCTTTGGGTTTAAGGTTTAGTGATTTGGGGCGTTTCGGGGTATAGTATACTAGAACTATGTCAGGACTAGCAGCGGATGGTTTTTACTACTCATTCAAGCAGACCTCATTAGTCAACGATCTGTCGGACTGAGCGCAGTGCGACTCCTTCTCCTCCTGGACTTTTTGAACTCGGTTGGCGAGTGCCTTCAAGCAGTCCAAACCTAAACCCTGTAGACCACAAACCCTAAACCCGGTAGACCACAAACCCCATAGCCATATTCAATCATCGCCAGGCCCTGGACCCTGAAAAGGATCTCTAAGCCATAAACAGGATGCCTAAACAACAACCCCCCGCTCGATGCTAAGTAGCCCAAATCTCCAAACTGTTTAGTTCTGGCCGAGAGTACGATTGAGCTTATGGACAAGGCAAATTCTGGGTCTCCGGTGGGATCCCCTTCGTTGTTGAGAACTCCAGAGTGTCGTAAGAATCCTTGCGAGGTTTGGGGTTTAGGGTTGATGCAAGGGTTTAGGGGCTGCCTCGATGCTTATGAACCCAATTAGTGCTCTGACATCTCAGGCGACTCCGTCTGTACCCGAATCACCGAAGTGTTCTTGGAACCACAGACGGTTGCAGAGCAAGCAACTCAAAGTTGAACCTTGGAAAAAAACATCGGCATGGCGACGGTAGGGCAATGGCCCTTATGTGGTATGAGACCTCGATCCTTGTTCAACAAAAGCGCTCATTCGCCCTGAAACATGAAACACATCCAGACCAGTTGCGAGCCCGCTCAAACTAGCTTCAGAATACCTCCACACCCCCCAACAGGACATACAGAAAACCTACCCCTGCACCCACAAATCAAATAAACCCTGATCCTTGCAACCCATTCTAAGGGTCCATGTACCCAAATAGTGTATACATTAGCCTTAATGTAGCCCCTATATAGGTACTTTAGGGCCAATGTATATACTATTTAGCTACATGGACCCTCTGGGCCAGTCATGGGGCTGACAAGATTCAGGCCTGGGACACTGTGCCAAACGAATCCGACACTCGGAAGCAGAAAGGCCGAATCCCTCATTTCGCAAACTCCCCGCACCATTTGAGCCTTGTTCACCTCAAGGTTGGACAGGCGTTTGTCCAGCACCTGAAGGACAAGTAACCCCTCTAGAAGCCAGCCTAACTATTACTGCCACAATATACCAAACACTCACTGAAGTACTCCTCATAGAAGCCTCTGCCAGCTTGACTGGCCGTTACTACACAGGAACCCTATTCCAATTCGTGAGGCCCCGAGACTCTTTACGAATCCCCGAAGTAACGTAGCCCATTTAGAACCCTATTGTGCTTGTGAAGGCCCCAACATCAGGAGGGCCACATGCCTCGGTAGACAAGAGCCTGATAAAGGCCCTTCGGCCCAAGTGCAAACTTAGAGGAAGCTTGGATATTGGAGTTTGTGGTTGAGGGTGTGGGGTTTCTGGGGAAACCTAAAATCTACGGCCCAACTCCAGGCAAGAGACATGCTAAGCCCCTTCGCAAACCTACACCTGAAGCCCCCGACCTAACCGCAAGCCCTGAGGCAGAAACCTAAGCACAGTGACAAACTGTGGTGGACCCCGAAGTCTCTCTGTGAACGTTGGATGAGCAACCTGGATCGTTCCCGTTTGAGTCTGAAGCAATGAGAAGATCTTGCCCTAAACTTCCAAGCCATCAAAGACCATCAAGCAGAAGGGCCCTTAGGGGGGTAGGGGGAGGGGGGTAATACCTGCAATAAGGACCGAAGAATAGGGCCTGTTTAAGGAAGTATCGTCCCCTACCCCCTTCCCCCTTACAAGCCTAAGGGTCCCTATGAATCAGGCCATGAAAACACAACAATCATATTGTCTTTTACAAAACGACGCCCCGAATGCTACACAACTACATCCAACTTCGATTCGGCAGTCTCTTGGGGCCGCTTCGATGAGGGCAGGCTGCCCCTTTGTAGGGTTTAGGGTTTAGGATGGTTTAGGGCAACGTGATCTGTGAAGCCTTACGCCCAAAATCAACATATCTTATGACTCCGGCACGCATTGGCCTCTTCCTGTTCCGCCAGGAGGTACTCCGTCTGTCGCACACGATCTTCCAAGACTTTCTCCTCTGGTAGGGACAGATGATGTTCTGGGCTCCCATCACGGACGACATATCGGGGCGGTACTAACCGGAATGGGGTTTCGGGGAGGGAGCATCTTGTCGTTTGCAAGGGACCTTTCTGACATGGGGGGCTTCTTAACTTTCGGGGTCCGTTCCTCAGGGAATCCGATAATGAAGGGCTTGCGTATGTTCTGCCATCGCTTCCGCACCAACCCTATTGAACCCGAGCAAAAGCGCTTGCGACGAAAACGCAAGCACGGACCAATCTTTTAGGAACCTTTGTGCTTCTACAAACAACCTTGTGCCCATTTTGGGTAAGAATACCACCTTAGGGAATATGGATGGGGTAATCGGTTATTCCTAGACTGGTCTTGGTAGTGGGCAAGAAGTAGTGATATTTGGGAATATAGGAATAATCTTCTTTATGGATGATGTAATCGGTTATTCCGAAATTCCTATACTAGTGTTGGTACTGGGGTAGTAGTGGTGATATNNGTCTAATGGGTTGACTGGTGGCATTACCCGAAATGGGCAAGGGTTCTGCTAACTTATAAACCCTCTCAGCCCTGAAACCCTAAACCCGAGAACCCGCATCCCTGAATCCCCAAAATCCTCAATCCTACCCGCTAACCCCCAAAGCCCGGAACCCTGAAATCTCGAACCTTACCCTACTTTTCGCAAATCCTACAACCCCACCTTAACCACAAATCAACAACCCTGTTAAGGACATGTATGACGACATCAGAAGAGCGCCAACCATGCAGGGTCTATGTCAGCTGCGGGTAAACCCTGACATCCTAAATCCTGCCATGGTCCTTACGACGAACAACCTGCCCTCCTAGCATCAACCTCAAACCCTGCGGCTGGGACCCTTAACGCTAAACCCTGAACATAAGTCCGAACGCGTGAGCACCACCGAGATCCCCCCCAACACAGAAACCCAAACTTCAACTCGCGAACCCTGACCAACACCCAAAGAACGCCTCAAAAGGCAAAGAAGATCTGATTTAAGCCTTGAGGAGAGTACTACTCATAAGAAACAAAAGAAGAACAACGTTCTAGAGGTTGCAGTAACGATTACAACTATTCCTAGACTGTTTTTAAAATTGCTGGTCATGGCTACTACGAACTTTACGTACGATGACTGTGGCTTCTATTTCGCAACGAATACTAGTTGTTGTGCGTCTTTACCACCAATATAGCGCGCGGTTACTGCTATGACTATGGTCCTGCAAACATAGTGGGTGTGTGTACCTACATACAGATGTATATGCACACCATGCATAAGCATACGCATTTACACATCTACATATATATATATATATATACATGTGTATATATATATATTTATTTATTTGTTTATTCACATATCTATATGTATATGCATATACACATACACATACATACACATACACATGCACACACATATACATATACATGTACACATCAATATACTTATACATACACATATACATAGACACATACATCTACATATACATCTACATGAACATATACGTTTACATGTACATATATACGTTTGCATGTACATGTACATACACAGACACATAATCACACGCACGCAGATGGAAATGCATATATATATATATATGCATCTGCAAATGCAAGTGCATATAATGCACCTATAATACATATATATATATATATATATATGTATGTATGTATGTATGTATGTATGTATGTATGTATGTATGTATGTATGTATGTATATGCACACAAAACAGGTATATATGGCTCTAGAACTTAATTCGTATGCTTGGTTTATCTACTTGAAGAGTCGAGGGACCTCGCGCTCGAGCATCTCATCCTCCTCTGCGTTCTGTTTGCCTTTTGGCTGAGGGGTTTAGGGTTTAGGGTTTAGGGTCTAGGGTTTAGGGTTTAGGGTCTTAGAGCTTCGGCTCGAGGGCTGTAGGGTTTTAAGCTTGGTTTGGGATTATGCTTTGGTTGTCAGATGTTGCAATCAGATTAGGCTTTCAGGTTTAGGGGTTGTGCTAGGGTTGAGAGACAAGTTTAGCGTTGAGGGTGTAGAGAGCTCCGGGTCTGTAGAATATGTCTAGGGCTTCCTACAAGCCCCGTAGACCCACAATGAACTTCGTATGTTTAATGACTCAATGACCCCTTGAGCAAATATTATAACAAACGAAAGTGGTTCCGAAACAACTACTAGCTAGGGCTGACGGGTTACGTCTATTCTATTCTCCACCTTCAGTGTGGTTGCTAGAGTTTAGAGAGAAGCCTTCCCACAGGCCCCTCACCAGAAGCGAGCTGCTACCGCGAAGGGTTTAGGGTTTAGGGTTTAGGGGCTAGGGTTTAGGGTTTAGGGTTTAGGGATAGCAGGACAGCAGACAGGACAGGAAAGAGACAGGACAGGAAAGCGTGCAGATACGAGTGCACCGGACAGCATAACAACAGGGGGCTTAGTTTCGGGCATAGGGTTTTGGGGCAGGCTATAGGAAGGAACCTTGAAGAATGACATGGGTAACGATGCCACCGAAAGTTCAGCTCTAAAAGCCAAGCTCCAAGCATAAGGTCGCAGAGATACTTGTTTGTTGCTTTCTCTGTGTGTAGGGATTTTGTGCTTGTCAGGGTGTAGAGTTTAGGGCTTCAATGATAAAACAGGGTTCAAGGCCAAGCAAATTCCAGCCTAAACCCTAAACCATGATAAGCCCCAAATAGCCCCAACCTCTCATTTTCCCTCAGACACTCCACCCCCAGTAACACCAAAAAAACAACTCACGACCCGATCGAGTGCTCGGCTGATAGTGCTCTTCTCCTGACCCTGCAGAAGAGTCGTTTTGGACGTCCACGGGCTAGGAGAGTTTAAGTTTAGGGGCTTCATAAGTTTAGGGCCTTGATCTGCTTTGTGGGAACATACTACAACCACAAGAGAAAACCCTCAGAAGTCATGTCAGGCACTTATTCCGATCAGCCTGTTAGAGCTTGCAGGGTTTTGTCCTTAACAAATTACCCCAAAAGCCTTATATAATCGGGTCTCTGGGCCCAAAAGCCTTAGGATCTGAGTCCTTTCAGGGTACGGGTCATGTTTTTGGAGTTGACGCCTACTGAATCCTTATCACAAAACTCTTAGCACAGACCCAAATCTGCGCGGGTTGAAGCAATATAGGCGCCTTAGTTCATGATGGGAAGAATCAAGGGACTAAAGCCCTAAATCCTAAACCCTAAACCCTAAACCCTAAACCCTAAAGGACGGACCCTTGAAGGGGAGCCTTGGGGTTGTATAGGGGCTTTATGAGACTATATAAGAGGTATATAACCCTAAGGGTCCAAGTACCTAATAATCATATACTCTCCCTTTTTTGAGCTCGAAAACTACCATCCGCAACCAAAGTTCCTTATTATTGGGTCCTTTGGACCCTTAGGGTAAGGGTTATATCGGGTATTTGGATTAGGGATACCTTCTAGGGGTCCCTCCTATTGTCCCTTAGAAGAAGGCTTGGATGGTCTGAGCACATCGAGCTGGGTTTAGGGTTTAGGGTTTAGGGTTTAGGGAATAGGGTTTAGGGTTGGCTTTTTCGGTGCCTTGTATGGACTGTTTAGGACTCAGGGTCTAGAGTCAGGATGCACGCGTTTGGGGTTTGGTGTTAGGGGGTAGGATTTTGGGCAGGTCAAACGTGACAAAAGCTGAGGAAGTCCCAAACCCCAAATCCGAAATCCCTAAACTCGAGCTCAGCCAGTGTTCCAACACTTACTTGCAGAGTCCCCTAAGCTTTATAAACCTGATTCGTTTCGGCTAGGCTTGGATCTTCATGAGGGTAAACTCTAGACTCTAAACCCCTAAACCCACCGATCCTAAATCCTAAACTGCTCTTAAACCCTTCCAACCTAAACCCAAACCCCTCAACGATTCAATCAACCCCCCCTCAACCCTAGCCCTACCCCGGAACCCCTAAACCCTTCAACCCCAAAACCCTAAACCCCTAAAGCTCCAAACCCTCAACCCCTTAACACACAGTTCTAAACCCCTAACTCCCTAAACCCTAAACCCGTAAAACCCTAAACCCTTCAACCCCCAAAAAGCCCCCCCGGATGTCGGCTGCCTCGAGGTTCGTCCCCTCCTGCTCCAGGTTCTTTCCCTGCCTCAGGGGGTCTGACATTTTGGAGATCGCAGGGCTCGGAGCTTTAATTTGTTTTAGGGTTTAGGGTTTGGAGTTTAAGGTTTAGAGTTTAGGGTTTAGGGTTTAGGGCTTTGGGTTTAGGGTTTAGGGCCTTTTTCTCTTTTTCTTGTTTCTTGTTTAACGCCTCTTTTCCCATCCGCAACAGGGTCTGACATGATGCTTTTAGGCTTTAGGGTTTAGGCTTTATGCCCTAGAGCTAGAGGGTATAGAACTAAGAGATTCGATTTGTTGTTTGTTCAAGATCTCTTTTTTAGGTGTACCGGCCCTTGTTCTAAGGGTTCCGGCTTTGGTTTCAGAACTAGAATTTAGGGCTTGGGCTTCATTAAGGTTGAGAATTGGACGCTCCTAAACCCTAAACCCTAAATCCTAAACCCTGAACCCTGAATCCTAAACCCCAAGTCCTAAATCCTACACCCTAAATCCGAAACCCTACACCCTGAACCCTAAATCCTAAACCCTCAGCCCTAAACCCTGTGGTTGTCACTGCAGAGCTTGGGGTTGAGATCGAGGGTCCAGGCTCTATCTCCACACCTTAAACTACCACAACCTACTTTTTCTGTAGGTCCTCATCTTAAACTTAAATGAAACTACAGGTGGGGAGATTAGGACATATAGGGCTTCGATAAGGCTTCCATAAGGTATATAGACCTCTAAAAGGCCCCTATAACGGTAACTACCCACCTGAAAATGTCCTAGATAAAACCGAGTATGGAGTTTATAGGAACCCTACAAAAAACAAGTTCTGGTAGGTTAAAGGAGGCTAAGGTGGGGTTTAGAAGTTAGAGTTTAGGATTTGAAGCGCCTTGATGAGGCTTTGGGCAACCCTACTTCTCTAAACCTTCCCCTGAACCCTAAACC